GTTTGAAGATGGGACCGGGACCAGTCTCTATTAACTGGATGGAGAAAGGAATATTTTACCCATGATAAAGGCCAGTGAGCAGAGAGCTTCTGTTGCTCAGGAATGGGTGGTGTCTACTTATGTCCTCCTCTCAGATGTAGAGAAGGGTTTGGTATGCTCATCAAAGCCAGTGCTCCATCATCAAAATCACAGAAAAGAGACAACCGTGGTGACGAGCCAGCAGAGCACCTGTAGGCTGCCCTGACCTTCCTCCTGACTCCCAAAGAAGCCTGAGGCTGGACTTCCCTAATCTCTGCAACTTCCTCAGCGAGGAGACCAGGAAGAAGGAAGTGAAGATTCGACTGAACTTCCTGGTGAGCAGTCATGGGTTTCCTTGTGCATGAATCATAGGATCCTGACCTTGACCCCTGAAGCCTGGGTACTTTGAACAGCAGTTTGGATGACCTACCCTGTTTCACTCATGCCTGGGAAAATTCATATGGTCTTCCGGGAAGAACCCACTTGTGTGATTTTTTTTCTCATCTCTGGTGTCTTGGATCCAAACAATGTTTGAGCTCCAGCACCTGGACGAGCTTACAAACCTGAAATGTTGCATGGGCCATCTTGAGTCCTTGGATTACGTAATGCCCGCCCGTAACCGGACTGCCACTTCTAGATCCCCAGCAGCACGGTGCTCAGTGGGGCAGGAGAGGACATGCTTAGCAGCAGCAGAATTCTCTGCTTTTCTCTTTTTGTCTGCCCACGCCACAGGCTTGTTCCATCTGCCCTTTTCCTCCAGGGGGCCTTGCAGTCTGCTCCTCTGTCTTCTCTGCTCTTCAATAAACAGCCGACCTTCAGGCTAAAGAGAAAAAGCCATCGCTGCTGCCTGGGGACCGTCAAGATCTAGGATCTCATTAGACGTAGGGGCCCTGCCTGCCACCCAGTCAGCTTCACTGTTAAAGTCACAGTTAGGTGTGATAGTGTGGTTGTGGATCTCATTCTCCTAAAGGGGCACCCTATTTTCTAGTGTTTTGAAGCTGGTGATTGGCCACCAACCTGCCCAAACATGGGCTCTACGTTGGGCACACCTCTTCTGGAAAGGCACAGTCACACATCTGCATCTTTTTCAACTAGCCATGGAAGAAAAAAGAAGTTCCTAGAGCCAGAATGATTACCGATGACTAAGGATGTGTTGTCCCAAGTGAAGATGAAAACAGTAGGCTTGCTGTGCTCCCAGCCAGGTTGGGGGACTGACCCTGGTGTGCAGGGCTCTGGCCCCGACAGGCTGCGTGCAGCAGTGGTGATGGCCCAGGGGCCACTTCCACGGCTGGCCACAGGTCACTCCAGTAGCCACCTCTTCCCATCCCCCTCCTCGTTTCACTCTTTTTCTTCTCTTTTTTTTTTTCATTTGGTGATACTTGGCTGCAGTAAATGTACAGGTCTTAAGTGTGCAACTTAGTGAGTTTTGACAGTCTCTGCCTATGTAGTCGACTCTCCCATTAAGAATATTTCCGTCCCCGGGGCGCCTGGGTGGCTCAGTGGGTTAAGCCGCTGCCTTCGGCTCAGGTCATGATCTCAGAGTCCTGGGATCGAGCCCCGCATCGGGCTCTCTGCTCAGCAGGGAGCCTGCTTCCTCCTCTCTCTCTGCCTGCCTCTCTGCCTGCTTGTGATCTCTCTCTGTCAAATAAATAAATAAAATCTTTAAAAAAAAAAAAAAAAATATTTCCGTCCCCAACCTAGTACCAGTTTGTAGTTTGTTACCATCAAAAACGATTTATCATTGGTTTGACTACTTTTCTTCTACATGGTAAATAGGGGATATCATAGATTGGGGGGAAAAATAGCCCTCTAAGAACTTGTGTTCCAATAAGGCAGAGTATGCATCTATAAACATATGAACCACTAAAACCTAGACGTCAATACCGAACAGTTAGTTTTCCTTATTTCCTTGAATTTTAATTCAGTTTCATGCCTCTTTCTAATCTGGAACGGTGTTGAAAGCAACATGAATACTATGGGCAAACAGTTAAAGAAGGTTTTCACATTTTCTGTGTGTTCTGCTCCCCTCTGGCACTTCTGAAATTAGGGCCCAGAACTATTACAAGTGCTCAAATGATCAGAATTTTAAATCTACCACACCCAGGAGTTTGGGGGCTTTCTTCCCTGGTAGTCAGCAGTGATATGGAGGAGAACCAAAGGCACTTGCCTTTCCCCAGGTGGAAATGGAGGCCTTGTCTCTGACGTCCACAAACCTGCTGGAGAGACGGAATTTTCTATTTCAGATTTACAGACAGACATAGAACATGAAAAATCTTTTGCCGTAGGACTCCAGAGATAATTTCACAGCTGAATGGGTTGAAACATTGCTGCTTCTCAACAGTGAAATTGTTCTTAACGTGCAGACGTGGTGGGCCCCTCAGGCTCTTATGTCCAAGGCAAAGGGGTACAACAAAATTATTTTCATAATTAATTCCTCAGTGAAATTGATAAGCCTCGCCTTCACTGCTTTGGGATGGGGAAGAGAAGATAGGGAAGTAGTATTTCCAGAAAGGTCAAGAAATACACACCTAGCTGCTACCCTCATCTCCCTGAAACCAACCTTCCCTTAAAACCTTTTCTACTTTTCTCGCCTCATGATTTTAGTTGGCTTGTTACCCAGCTGCAAAGTACTTTTCTGGAATTCCCAAGAAAGCTATCGGTTACATGTTGTCTTTGCATATTTTAGATGTAAGGTATTTGTAGTGCTTTTTACTGCTAATTGCATGGGTGATTTCAGCATAGAAGGCAGCTTCTGATCTATATTTGGTGGAAAACTTCTATAACAGGAAAAGCCCTAGGGATTGATTTTTAGGCAGTATGAACTGTCTTATTCCTATAGATGTACTGCCTGAAGGGATACTAAGAGACCGCTGGAGAAAGAGTGGTCGTGGCCATGGGATTTTCTGGGATCTTCCTTTTGTCAGAAGCAAATGTGCAAGCCTCACCCTTTAACAGGACAGTGTTCATTTTTAATACTCAAGAAATCAGAAACCTATAAAAGTGCATTATTTCTAAAACAATTCTAAGGAGAAAAGTAATACTTTTGTTTCTGAATGAATTATGTTTCTCGCCAGTTAGTTTCAGTGCATGTGGGCAGATCATGACCTCCCTGCAGTTGTCCGAACCCCTTTTGTGTCCACATCTGGTTGTCGGGGGCACCCCCTCAGGAGTCCACCTGTTGGTACCTGTGGGTTCACAGGAGGGCGGAGCTACCAGCCAAAGGCTCACGTTGTTCGTCACACGGAAACAGTGATCATTTTGCCTCCACATTAATTCTGTCTGTGCTCTACTGTACCTCACAATGAGAAGTCACACATTTCTCAAACCGTTTTGTGCTCCATGAAAATGGGAAAGAAAGAGAAGGATCCGACAAAACTTAGAAGATGCTTACTGATTGGCTTTTGCATGGCTTTGTTTTTGTATAATGCTGAATCCATTCACAGATACTAGAATTTAGAAGAGAGAGACCCATAGAACCTATGGCTGTCACCTGCCTGTTAACGTTCAGTGACGGTGTATTTCTGGAGTGAGAAAAAAAATGTTATGAAAGGAAGAAGGATGTAATTAGCAAGTAGCTGTTTCATTTGCGAGATCGTGTGTTACTGTGACTACAAAAAATTCATTGTTGGGGCGCCTGGGTGGCTCAGTGGGTTAAGCCTCTGCCTTCGGCTCAGGTCATGATCTCAGGGTCCTGGGATCGAGCCCCACGTCAGGCTTTCCTCATCAGGGAGCCTGCTTCCTCCTCTCTCCCTCTGCCTGCCTCTCTGCCTACTTGTGATCTCTGTCAAATAAATAAATAAAATCTTTTTAAAAAATTCATTGTTGTGGGGATTGGGAATAAATACATGGTCCTTTACCCTCAGCAAGGGAAACTAATGTACAGAATGACAGAATACTAACATAAACCATGCTTAATTCGTTCTTCCCTACTTTCCATTTCCTCTGCCTTCAGTATTGATATTTTTCTTTTCTTTTCTTTTTTTTCTTCTCTTCTCTTTTCCCTCCCTCCCTCCTTCTTCCCTTCTTTCTTTCTTCCTCCCTTCCTACCTCTTCCTTCCTTCCTTCCTTCCAAGTAGGCTTATACTCATGAACACAGGGCTTGAACTCATGACCCTGAAATCATTACCTGAGTGTAGGTCAAGAGTCGGATCCTTAGCCTGCTGCACCCAGGTGCCCCTAAGGGTTGACATTTCTTAACCATCTCATGTGGGAATTTTAATACTCACTTAATATTCGAAGTATTAGCATCTGCCAAGAATTAAATGAAATGCAGTTTCACAAAGTCTCAATTCTAATTTTTTTTAAGAGTGACAAAGCCAACCATCTTTGAAATGGATGCTGAGGAAACTGAAATATACCTAGAAATGTCAATAATTATTAGGATTTAATACATTTACCTGTGCACATTTATTTTTAAGAACCGAAGTGCCATGTAAAAGTCTTTACTATATCTATAATAAGTATTTGTCCATATTACTTTAATACATAGAGATAATAAATAAAAACAGACTTGATCTGTTCACCTTCCTTTGAAGCAGCTTGTGATACTTTGGAAGCCCAGCACTTAATGTAAAGGTCTAACATGCAGTTGGCTGCTTAATATGTATTTTTTTAAATGAATGAGCAAAAATAATATAATTTTTAAGCAGATGATGTTTTCTGAACTATAAGGGATATCTGAACATTAGAAGAACACATATGTGATCACAAATCACTTTATATTTTGTCAAACCAGAGAAATGTTGCAAAGCAGTAGGAAAATACTCAAATTGAGAAAAGTTAACAAATTATTTTTACCTCAGTATCAACAAATAGTTGAAGGATCTTCACAGAAACCAAAAACAAAGCTAATTGACAGATTCCTTTATTATGTTACCATGGGCAAGCCTAAGGAGTATTTCTTAAGATACTGAGAATTTTCTTAGGTCTGTTTGTTACATTCCATTTTCTAAACTGCTCATTTATTAAACCTCAATTTTTAGGAGAGATTTGAAGCACTTTTCACTGTCTATGATGACCAGGTGACATTTCAGTTGTTTAAGAGCTTTCGGAGAGTCAGGATAAATTTCAGCAAACCAGAAGCAGCAGCAAGAGCGCGAATAGAGCTCAATGAAACAGACTTCAACGGGAAGAAGCTGAAGCTGTATTTTGCACAGGTACCTCGCCATGCTGTTCTCTCAGCCTCTTTTCCTCCATCCCCAAATACCCTCCGTCCTCCGTTTTCTTGATGAGTGTATCAGAAGTCTTTGGAATAAACAATCCCAATCAGCAAGGGATGTAAAAACCTATTTTCTTTATTTTACGGATATATAAATATTAAGGATATTTGCCTTCCTGACTTTGTAACGTTAAAGGAATTCATCTTTCTGGCAGCTTTTCTGCACGGGGGTTCTGTAAGGGTGAAGCCCTAACTCCTCAAGACTGGGTCACTGGGGGAGGGGCATCAAGGAGGGCGCCTGATCTGATGAGCTCTGGGTAGTATACACAACGAAGGCATCATTCAACACTACGTCAAAAACTCATCATGTACTATGTGTTGGCTAATTGAATTTAAATTAAAAAAAAAAAAAAAGATCAGTGAGCTGACTTCCCTCCTGTGCGTCTAAAGGGCATTTGGGATGTGACAGCTTTGGGAGCATTGAGGAAATAGTTGCTGAAGTCCTGTCACCCCACTGAAGATCGCTGCCAGCCTGGGGCTGACCAGGGACCCGGCACCACGGAAAGGCTGGCCCTTTGCAGTTGCAGAGGAGCCCGAGGGTTTCTGCCAATCTGCTCTGCTTACTATTTGGATCCTGCTGGGTCGCGCTGGCAAACCAACTTCTCCTCTGAAGAACTGACGACATAAAAGCATTCGACCTTGACTCATTTATTAAGTGCGGTATTTTATTTTCAACCAAATTTGAAAAAGGAGGTTTGTCCATTGTCTCATGCTCCAAATGAAAATATAAATGAAAGTTGTCGGGATGTTTCTTGGTAGAGCTGCTTGAGAGGGAGACAGTGAAGCCTAATTTGTTTTAAAACTGGAATTCAGAAAATAGGTAAAATTGGGATTCAGGTTTAGTACCATTCAGTGTTTGTTCATCTCCTTACGGGTTCAGGTTCTCACTGGGCTGTGGTTTACTGGCCCCCGGGGACTCGGGCACTGGGCTGAGCCCCCAGCACTGGGCAGTCAGCCACACAGACCCAGCTCCAGCCACCTGGAGATGCAGGCTGCCAGGAAAAGGCTTTCAGTTTCTCCAGAGAGGTCACAGTTAGCCTCACAATGAAAATGAAGAAACAGCCCAGTCACGTGCTGGTTTTGAGCCTCTCCTTGCCCGCAGGTCCAGATGTCCAGCGAAACCCGGCACAAGTCCTATTTACTGCCGCCGCAGCCTGTCAAACAGTTCCTCATCTCCCCTCCTGCCTCCCCGCCTGTGGGCTGGAAGCAGGGGGAGGACGCCACGCCTGTTATAAACTATGACTTACTCTGTGCAGTTTCCAAACTGGGACCAGGTAATAAACTCTTACCTTCCCTATTTTTCCCCCTCCCAAGAAACTTTTGTATTAAAGACCACACTCGGCGATTGGCATGCTAGCCAACCAATGGCAGCATGATCAGAGTGGAGGATAAAGTCACACAAACCTGGGTTCCAACTCTAGTGTTGGAATTTTGTGATTTTTTTTTTTTAAGTCCTCTCTACACCCAGTGTGGGGATCGAACCTACAACCCAGAGACCAAGTGTCTCTAACTTTGTGATCTTGAGCAAGTTACTTAGCTTCAGGTTCTGAGCCCGTTTTCTCATCTAAAATACCAATCATAGGGGCGCCTGGGTGGCTCAGTGGGTTAAAGCCTCTGCCTTCAGCTCAGGTCATGATCCCAGGGTCCTGGGATCGAGCCCCGCATCGGGCTCTCTGCTCAGCAGGGAGCCTGCTTCGCTTCCTCTCTCTCTGCCTGCCTCTCTGCCTCCTTGTGGTCTGTCAAATAAATAAATAAGATCTTTTTTAAAAATCTAAAGAAATAAATAAAATACCAATCATAATAGCTACCTTTCAGTGTGGTTAATAAGAATTAAATGTGATACTCAATAAACATAACAGTTTAAGCTGCTATACATCCTTCTAGGACACAGCCAGCCGTTAGTGAATGTTAGTTACCTTCTCCCACCTCCCATCAAAGTACCGGACAGACTTCTCCATTGAGTACTCATTTCAAGGAACCGGTGGCACTACTATATTACTCCTTCCAAATCTTTCTCTTAGAGTTATTGTTCATTTCTTCTTTTTCTTTGATTTCTCTCATCCCTTTAAAATAATCTAGGAACTCAGTACTGGGCTGGTTCAGACTTTGTCCACCTACAGCAATGTTATGTCTCTTAGAAGGGGTTACAAGAGGCATTTTGAGGGGAGGGGAGGTGGCTTGCTGTTTTCGTACACATCAGAGCAATGTCATGGATGTGTGCGGTCCTGTAATGAAGAGATGGCTGCCTGGAACCTTACAGGTGTCTCCCGAGGGAAAACTGAAACCATTCTGGAGTTAAGCAGGTTCACTCACACGGTCTGTAGAACAGTAATTAGCATTTCCATTTTACCTCCCGACACATCAGTCCTCTGCACCAGCTCATTTCTTCAAAGAGCAAAACTGTATAAGAACCTTACAGAATCAGATCTCTAAGGCCAAAGCTAAGTTCTCTGACATAGGATTTAAAAGCCAATCAGCAGCAATTAAAAAACAAGTAGAACAAAGTTTCGGGACACCAACCCCTCTTTCTGCTGCTTACCTCCCCAGGAGAGAAATACGAGCTCCACGCAGGAACGGAGTCCACGCCAAGCGTGGTGGTTCACGTCTGCGAAAGTGAAACTGAAGAGGAAGAAGAAACAAAAAACCCCAAACAGAAAATTACCCAGACGAGGCGCCCTGAACCTCCAGCCGCAGCACTGAGTGAGCCCCAGACCTTCGATGGGGCGCTGTGAGGGGTCTGGCTGGGGTGCCCGCCGCTGCCCCCCCGGGGCCCCGCCCTAGAGGTCCGTGTCCTTCCCTGGCACAGCGCTGCTCAGCCTGTGTGGAGGGGAGGCTGGGTGTCACCACCGGCCCCCGCCGGCTGCAGACACAGCCTAGAGAGTAGCAAATGACTTTACCTGTCACCTTTTCACAGAGATTCTGAACAGCACTTTAAAGGAAAGGATTAGCCCTCAACATGTTGCAACTCTTGACCATTTTTTAAGCAGTAGGAAATGTGTCTGATTCCTGGCTTCCTCCAGCAATGTTCATTTCCCTGATTTCATATACCATGGGGTCCCCAAAAACTAAAGCTGTAGTCCCCGAGTGCCATTTTTATGACCTCAAAAACAGTCTCATGACCTTAGCAATCTAACATGGGCATTCAGTAATGGTATGACAGCTCCCAGCTACTCTATCTGTTGATCAAATGTGGTTATTCAACATACATGAAGTTTTTTTTGCGCGAGAAGAGATCTGAAATCTAGACTAATTCATAGGGAGTCATTTTTCTCGCATTGTTTTTCTCTTTAGCTTTGGGGAGGAAATGCCAAATTCTCTTTGACCGTTGGACCCAAGTGGCACAAATCTGTGTGCATGTGACTCTCTTCCCTGTTACTCTTGCTTGAAAGAGGAAAGTGCTGTACAGACCACTGTCCCTGATGCGTCGTCCCTCCCAGAGAACTGCCACTTTGGAAGCTGGACAGGCCACCCGTAAGTCTGACTGATGATAACCCCTGGGGGCCACTGCGGTCTGCCGTCTGTGACCGTGTGCTAGCCCGTGGCATCCCCAACCGTCCTCAGCCACCAGTTGAGTTTTTTAATGTTATACATGTTGTGTGTGTCATTCAGAGACTGTAAATTGGAAAAGGTAATAATAAGATTCTCTGAAGACCGCTTTTTAATTGTCGATTGAAACATTTTCCAGTTTGCTCTGAAAGAAAAGGCACATATACTCTTTTTCTATGAATCCGGGAAAGATGCGGGAAATCGAGATCATTCCATTCATCAGACCTTGTTTTTGGTGCAATACTTGACCCTGGCTGACAGTTGGCCTTTTCCTTAAAACAAAACTGTTCCTCACCTGTGTTTCAGGAGTGGCTGGTTGAGGCTCCTGAAGCAGAAACAAGCATCTTTTCCCCTTTCTGTGGTCTGTTTAGACTTGGCAGTCCCTTTGTAGAAAAGTCTCATAATGAAGAAAACTTGGCTTAGGTCGGAGGGCTCTGCTGATCTCTGTTCGCTGTGCGGTCTTCTCTGTATGTCACATGTCTGGAGCTCCCCGGGATGTGTGTGAAGAAGCTGACATAGGAGTGTGGACTCATAAAGCAAACTACCCAGAAGGAAGAACGCAGAAATTCACGCCATGGTGTCCGTCCATTTTTGGTAGCATGTTTCGTGGTTTGGAGGTTCTTATTATGGTAGAATGTATTTCTGAGGACTTAAACCGTTTTGCCCAAAAAAACTTTTCTATTTTTCCTTGCCCTCAAATAATCCGAGATGATAAGCTCTCCTATTTAGATGTGTCTACCCCCGCTCAGCCTCTATATAAATACAGTTGAAATCTGATTCCATAGGCAGTGTATTAAATTCAGATCATCTTTTGGCAGTTTAACTGACAGCCACTTAATAAATTTACTTTGCACTCTGAATTCACCCCTTTGCTAGTGTTTGATCTTATCGGGTTGCGCTAACATCATTTGCAGAATGGACCCTGTACATCAGGAAATGTATTTTCAACAGTTGAGGATTTAAAATTTTCCTTTTAGGTAATATTTATTAACTATAATTTTCTAAGTGATCAAAATCCATGATGTCTTCTTATTAGCTTGGCGTTCATGGTCTTCCTTCCAATTAAAGAATAGTCTGTCCCTACCTTACATAACCTGTTTTTAAAGTCAAGCAGTGCAGATTACCTGGATATTTCTTTTTCTCTGTATTTTTTTAAAGATTTTATTTATTTATTTGACAGACAGAGATCACAAGTAGGCAGAGAGGCAGGCAGCGAGAGAGGGGGAAGCAGGGTCCCCGCTGAGCAGAGAGCCAGACACGGGGCTCGATCCCAGGACCCTGACTGGGATCATGACCTGAACTGAAGGCAGAGGCTTAACCCACTGAGCCACCCAGGTGCCCCTCTCTGTATTTTTTTTTTTTGACAGTGTTGAATAAATTGAAGAAAAACTTAAACCAAAATAAATATATATTAAATACAAAATATATATTATTTAATATATACATATATTAAACTTTTCTGAGTGGAGAACATTAATATTTTCATTCTTTCTAGTATACTATTTCCGTAAGGTGAACTCAAATAAAAGGGAAAGTACTAAATGCCCATTAACTTTTAAATATGGTGAAATCAACCAGGATCTCAGCAAGTATTACGTACGGACTCTGTCCTTTCTTAGCTACTTTTTTTTTTTAATATTTTATTTATTTGAGAGAGAGAGAGAGACAGAGAGAGCATGAGCGAGGAGAAGGTCAGAGGGAGAAGCAGACTCCCCGTGGAGCTGGGAGCCTGATGCGGGACTCAATCCTGGGACTCCAGGATCATGACCTGAGCTGAAGGCAGTCGATTAACCAACTGAGCCACCCAGGCGCCCCCTTAGCTACTTTCTATCCAGTTCACGTAACCATCTTATAAGAGGTGAGTCTTGTGTACTTTTTTAAAGTTCCTTAAATAAGTTTAGCTATGTTTTTCTTTTTGGAAATTGAGTTATTACTCAGATTTAGCCCTGATAGTATAGTAGCCTTGTTCTCCTCAGAAATCATAACTTCGACTTGGGAATCAAATTCTTTAGAGCATTGTGAGGAAATATTCACTGTACTTCAATCTGTTTTGTGTTAGGGAAAAAGCATACGTGAAGAATAAGAAAATCTAGCACTTAAAATAGGCCCATTTATAAAGTGTGCTTGTGTGAGCATCAACTAGTTGAAAGTACTAAGAATCAGTAAAAACAGTTCCCTTGAAGCCTTGGGGAGCTGAACGTCAGGGGGAAAGCAAACTCATCTTCCTACATTTTGCTTCTACACACTTATACACTCAACCTAGCGACAGAATTGAGAGCCCCGAAGTTTTACGTTCCCCATAAAGGCTTAAACAGAACATGGTGTGTTTGAATCAGAGCTGCCAGGAGACAGGGCAGGAGCAGCACCGTCCTTCTTCTAGAAAACAGCCCTTTTTGTTTCCCACTCACAGCAACTCCCTTTCTTCAAAATGTTTTGATAGATCCCGGGGTCTCAGGATCAAGTCCCATGTCGGGCTCCCTGTTCAGCGGGGGGGTCTGCTGCTCACTCTGCCTGCCACTCCCCCACTTGTGCTAGCTCTGTCAAGTAAATAAATAAATCTTTAAAAAAAAAAAGTGAAGAGATTAGATTTCCTCAGAATCTCAGTCATAGTGCTGAGGGTGATGTAGTCTACTCCTTGTGTGACACAGATGACAAAGTGGAGATGAGGCATCTTACTTCGAAGGCCACAGGGACTGGGTTGGCATTCCAGCTCCTGCACTAGGCTTTTTTTCTCCTTTCTTCTTGCACCGGCCTCTCAGAAGCCATGAATCTCTGTCATAAGAAAATAGACAAGGTGCACCTGGGTGGCTCAATGGGTTTAAGCCTCTGCTTTCAGCTCAGGTCATGATCTCAGGGTCCTGGGATTGAGCCCCACGTCAGGCTCTCCACTCAGCGGGGAGCCTGCTTCCTCCTCTCTCTCTCTCTGCCTTTCTGCCTACTTGTGATCTCTGTCAAATTAAAAAAAAAATTAAAAAAAAAAGAAAATAGACAAATAAGAAGAAGAAAATAGACGAAAAAGGGGGGAAGAATTCTATCTCCCCTGGAGGGATACAGTGAAGAAGAGAGCTGATGAAGGCGGTGACTTAGCAGTCTCTTGAATGAAATTAATGTTCCATCTTCTGTGTTTTTGTTATCATTGTACTGTTGGGATTGGAATCTACTTAAATAATGTTATTTTGGTAGCCAGCAATCGTGTTTATGGGGCTTTCCTAGAGTTTAGTAGTAGTAAGATTAAATTATAAGTAGCCAGACTCGAGATGTGAGTCTAATAGAGCAAGGAGCCTGAGATTGGGGCACCTGGGTGGCTCAGTGGGTTAAAGCCTCCGCCTTCGGCTCAGGTCATGATCCCGGGGTCCTGGGATTGAGCCCCGCATCGGGCTCTCTGCTCGGCAGGGAGCCTCCTTCCCTTCCTCCCTCTCTCTCTCTGCCTGCCTCTGCCTACTTGTGATCTCCGTCTGTCAAATAAAAAAATAAAATCTTTTTAAAAAATTAAAAAAAAAAAAAGGAGCCTGAGATCCCCTAGGATTTGGAAATCATTTGCAGTGGAATGACCCCAGCACTCCGCTTGTAAAACAGAGCTCTGGGAAAGATTGAAGATGGACCTGTGCTTCGTGTTTCTATATAGACTCTTATCCAGACCATAGCTTTATTCTAAGGAGGGAAGATCTCAGACATAATTAAGCAGCGGAAAACGTATGAAATTCTTTGGTGCATCAAAGTTCCCCGTCTGCTGGTGTCTCTCTTTTCTCTGGAGTCGTAGACTTTCATACCTATCGCGTGGGTGAACTTGGTCAGCCTTCCTTTTGCCCACTCACCGTGCTCCTTGTCTACACACTTGCCTTTATGTCCTCCTGCACAAAAGCAAACAAATTACTTACAAATGTGACAATATAAAGGAACAACAGATGAGGGAATTAGTTGCCTCCTCCTTGAGGAGGGAAGTCCATTGTTACAGAAACTCACTTTTTAAAAGGTTAAATAAACTTAGAGAATAAGTTTATGAGTTTATGAACCTTGTTCAACAGTTTAATAAATACCCGTTTGTTTTATAACCTCCCCTCGGGGTGGGCTCACGGGAAAACATCTTCACTGGAATGCCGTTGTTGTCTCTCCCCAGGAATCAGGGGAAATGTTAATAACTTGAAGAGTGTTGTTATTAATACCGAACACACAAGCAGCAAAGCAACAGAAGGTGACAACGGCTAGGTTTTACTGACCAAAAAGATGGTAAAAATGGTCATGTTCCAAATAGAAGTTTCCAGCCAAGGTTAAGAAGAACTAACGCTGGGGTGAGTCAAGGTGTCTCCAGCCATTGAAACAAAAGCATAAGGACCTTTTATGAAATTAGGCTGTGTGGTCTATCTTGTGACCTGTGTTTTCCTTGTGAAGCAAAAGAGTGTCCTGCAGACTCTTGGGCGTTCTTGCATAACTTTGACTGAATGTTCATTCTTGTTATCCGGAAGATCTCTATCTATGCAGAGAAATTGTGTTTTTCCATATCGTTTCCCATGCAGTCCCCAGTCTTCCTAACTCAGACTGGGGACTGAGGAGAGAGACCAAGGTAGCTAATTCTGTTGCTGCCATCCTCTGCCTGCTGCTTCTCCCCCAAGGTGGGGACCCCAGAGAGAAGCCGTCTACATTTCTGCTGTATCGTGCATGTCCTCCAACTTGAAGGAAGTTTTTCACTCGTTCCACTTCTCTCTTCATTGAACCCAGGAGGGGAATTTATTATTTTATCTGAACATGTTTGTGATCTTGTGTTATATTCTGGGGGAACATTGCTTTTCTGGTACTATAAATTGTAGTGAATATTCACTGTACTTCAAAAACCTGGTTAGTAATTTATATATATGTATTCTGTATTTTAGTGTGCCTGATGTAACAATCCATAGTTTGTAGTAGTTCGTTATTTGTCGACTTTGGCTCTCCTGTATTTTTAGGACATTTAAATGTTCCTCGTCCTTGCAAAGCGACGAAAGCAGAATGTAATTTTTTTGGAATCCTTGTGATTACTTGTAACAAGTTTTGTTTTTAAAGCTAATAAAAATAAAATTAGGGTTTTTTTTTTAAATCAGTCCGCTGAATTCTTTGTAGTATTTTCAATAAATATCATTTACATTTAGGTAACAGCCCAAAAAAAAAGACAGAAAAGGGAAATAACGATGTTTGTTCCTTTAACTGGATTGCAGGTGTGTGTTCTTACGGAGCTGCACCGGTGCCAAAGGTGGTGGGTGACTCCCTGCCAACTCAGGAAATGACCACAATGGTTTGGGTTCTTTAGCAAGAAAAGTTTTTATCCCAGTTTATCCTCGGCAAAAAATGATTCATTCCAAGTAAAGGCTTCTTTTCTCTCGGTTAAGAAAAAAAAATCTCCAAATCCGAGTATCAAAGCTAAAAATGACTGAAAGGTTATCTAGTGCAGTGATATATTTTTTTAAACATATACTTATGTTTATGCCATAGAACTCTATTTGTTGTTCAAATGAAATCTTACATATAGTTTGACATACTTTACAACAAAAAGGTAAGCACCTGCTCCCTTTGAAGGGGGTGAGGGAGACGTGGGGACCCAGAGGGTACCTCCCAACCCCCCCCCCCCCCCCCCGCACACCGTGAGACCTCAACAGCGCAGTCCCAAACACCCGTCTATCCTGGGGCCTCTCCACAGGCACCTTTACAAGTAAATGTCCCAGGAGGCATTGCCAAATTCACACATCTGGATGGTAGCTAACCGGGGACTAGAAACATAGTTTCCTGCCTCCATCCCAGGTGGACCCTGCTCCACTTTAATTAAACTGAAATCTTTCATTTTTCAGGAGAAACGTATTGGGATTCAAAGGTTCTCAGAATCGTCAGTCTTTTGTTTGTTTCAACAGCACTGAGGTCCTGGAGTAACCCCGGGGACATTTCTCCTTTAACAAGATGCTTTTCCAAGCTGTGTTCCTTGGCGCTGCCTCCAGGGGGAGCTGGACTCCAGGTCACTGGGCCTTGCACCTGGCTTCAAGCCCTCTGGCACCATTCTCGTGCCCAATGGTCTTGGCATGAAGTTGCACTTGAGCTGAGGATTCCTGGGCTGAAACAGCAAGTTGTGGAACCGCTGCTCATAACCTGAGATTAAAATGATTTTTTGAATGCAGAATAGAAAAATACAAGAATAAAGGTTTAAGTAATTTGCTTCATTAAAATAGCCCGACTTAAAAGTTAAATGCCCACAGTGTATGTGTCAGAGTCCAGTTATCATGAAGACGCATGCTAAACTAGAAAGCAGGACTGAGCGGAAATTCCCTCTGCCTTCTCTGAACACATCACGATATGGTTCGAATCTAGAAGGAGAAAGGATTAAAATTCTCACACACACACGGGCAACATCTCAAATCTTGCCAAACGTCCCACAGTCTTCGGAGACATAGAAGGTGTACATATAAGTAATTCGTGGAGTAGGTATTTAGATAATAATGTTATTTGGGAAAAGCTCGTGGTAGAAATGTTTGGAAAAGTTGAACGGTTTCTGTATTGCACTGTTCCTCGGACCTTTTTAATTTGTGCATTCTGTGTCTCCAATAGGATACAGTTTTTTATCAAATCCAATTAGCTATGGAGCCCTTTTGCCCAGAAGCATTTCATTGTACTGCTGCTCGACGAACAGTTACAGAAACATTCTAAAATCTTGGGGCCTGACTGAAGGATAGGTCTGTGAATTAAAATTTCTTTATTCATTTCTCTAAGCAAGAGAACTATGAGATGGGCATCAGAAGGAGCCTTCCTGATTTAATAAATGGGAAAACCAAGTTGTTAAAATTATTAGAATCTATAAAAGCTCAGCAAAGTTGCCAAATACAGGAATAACTTAGAAAAATCAGTAACATTTCCTTATACCATCAATGACCAAAATATAAGAAGCAATAAGATAACATTCGTAATTAGAACAAAACATCAGCATAAACAAACTTTCAAACTATAATACAGACTTGGATAATTTAAGTACATGCTTTTAAAGGGGATAACTTCATATTGTAGGAATGTCAAATTTTTTTTCCCAAATTATAAATGCACTGGAATCTCTGTCAATTTTCCAGCTATATTTTTTACACAATGCTCATTAAACTTACTCTAATACTTGGATGGAAGAATAAAGAAACAAGAAGTTAAGAAAACCTTAAAAAGAAAAAAGATGGAGGACTTGTCCTGCCAAATCCTAAGACAACCTACAAACTCACATGAGTTTAATCAAGAAAAGTCAAATAAATTTCTTTTTAAAAAGAGTAGAGACCACCCACGTCTACACCAGGGAATTAATGTACAATAAAGAGCCATTGTAAATAAACAGACAAAGGCTACACTGCCTAGTCAATGGTGTTGGGAAAATGGGCTTAGTATATGTATGTCAATAAAACTGGGCTCCCCATCAAACACTCTATACAGAGCTGGACTCAAGATGGGTTAAAGACTGGAATAGAGGGGTGCCTGGGTGACTCAGTGGGTTAAGCCTCTGCTTTCAGCTCATGTCATGATCTCAGGGTCCTGGGATCAAGCTCTGCATCTGGTTCTCTGCACAGCAGGGAGCTGCTTCCCCCTCTCCCTCTCTGCCTGCCTCTGCCTACTTGTGATCTCTGTCTGTCGAATAAAGAAAAATCTTAAAAAAAAAAAAAGACAAATACAAAATGTAAAACTACAGAGTTAATAAAATGGTTTGAAGGAGAATATCTTTGTGACCTAGAGGAAGGGAGAGATTTGACAAAAGTTTAAAAAGCATAAGCTATATGGTAATAATTTGATTATATCAAAATGAACAATTTAGAGTCCATGAAGAATGCCATAGACAAATGGTGACAGATAACAGGGAGAAGATATTTGCAGTCTTAATATGGGATAAATAACCATAATATACAAGAGAGTTGGGCAAATCCAAAGGGAAAGCAGCCCAATAGGAAAATGGCTTAAGGCTATGAACAGCAATTGACAGAAAAGTAAAGTGAGCCTTGGAGAGACATTCAAACCCAGTAATCCGATTAGTGTGATTAATGCAACAAGATGCCACTTTATACCTATTAGAGCCTCAAAAATGTAAAAAGCGAATAATGCCCAGTATAGACAAAGGGTGGGGGTATAGGACACCTGATGTAACACAAGCGAGCGTGTAGACTGGTTTAGTTACTATCTGGCAGTAAACCGTATCAGTAAGAAGAGATCTCTAACTGAACAGCTCTGCTCCTGGAATGAATGAATGAATGAATACATACATACACACTTACACACACACACACACACACACACACACACACACATTTATTTATTTATTTACTTATTTATGTATATATATTTATATCCCAAGAATATCCCAAACGCATTCTCAGGTCCATCAGGAGACACGATGAGAATGCCTATTTCATCATTATTTATGTAAGCAAGCTGGTGTCCCCTCCTGGGAAACTGAACTATGGAGAACAATACCACAGAGTCGCCATATACCCAGCTACATGGATGGATCTTAAAAATAGACCCGAGGGACAAAAGTAATCAGTGAGATATGTGTGAGATGTGTGTAACACTTGGCGTTACATAAAATACAGAGGAGTGCATGGTACAAGAATACACAGATATACATTAAACACACATGAGCACATATTAGAGGCATCTCCTATGCATCAGTGATGATAACGTGCTCTGAACCGAGAAGTCTGATTTACTACTAGACTCTCTATAATCTTTCTGTGGTCATTAAAAAACTATTAATACCTCCTTCTCTTTCCTCCCTGGAGTCTACATTAGTTTAAAATTGTGTGTTATTTTTCTCTTATTGCTTTAGAAGAAAATATTTTGCTGTGATTTATTTAGGTGAAATCTGGATTTTATTGGCGAGTTTATGCCTTTTTGGATAAATATTTCAGAAAAACACCAGGTACCACCGGTTCTGTTGGTAGGTGCATATACATAAGTTCTTTCTCCGTCTAAGTTATGTAGATTCTTTATGAAATGTGCTCCGATGTGGAGGGGGAAAATGTACCTATAATCACTCTTTTCTGAGCTACAAATAAGCATTGCATGTGGTTCGACTCTAGAGTCATTTCCTTTTGCTTTGAAGAAGTAATCAAGTTCATCCTTGGCCTGCTACTGTCTTCCTTTGATGTGTTTTTCAAATAATTGAGATCTTTAGTGGAAAATTATATAATCTTCTGTCCTAGGAGATTTTACCAGGCCTCGTGGCCCCAAAGGAGGTAATCAGACCAAAAATGATTTCTTGGAAGTTGCCTGAATTAATCCTGTGAATAAAAGACCTTTGAGGGACAAATTTACTCATTTTCTATTAATTCCTTGATAACTTTGGTCACTTCCCAGACTATCCATTAGAAATGTCTGGCAACTGTTGGAAAGTCTGGAAGGGAGGTTTCTTCTCCTTTACAAATGAGAAGCAGCCCCTGGGCGTTGGTTTAGCAGTTCCACCTTCTCCCAGTGTCAAAGATATTGGCTGCTTTTTGTTCTGGGATTTACTTATCAGGCACCCAGAAGATTAGGTGGAAATGACCCAGTCACCCAAGGGTGTTGAAGGTCACAGAACTGTAGTTGGAGACCGCTCCCAGGATGGGCGGATTACAGGGTTGTGTGGCGAGCCTCTTTTCCTTCCCTCTATCCCACTCTACAGGGTGAACTGAATTTGTCACAGAGCAGAGAGAACCCTGTCTGTGGCAGCTTGCAAGGTTCAAGTCCTATTCTCCACTTCTGTAGCATTTAAAGATTTTTTTTTTTTTTAATTTGACAGAGATCACGGGTAGGCAGAGAGGCAAGGTGAGAGAGAGGAGGAAGCAGGCTCTGGCGGAGCCTGATGCGGGGCTCGATCCCAGGACCCTGGGATCATGACCTGAGCCAAAGGCAGAGGCTTTAACCCACTGAGCCACCCAGGCACCCTCCACTTCTGTAGCATTTAACAACTCGCCAGGCTCACTGACTCCGTTATGGTGAAAGGCCGGGACTGGGGGGTTCGAGTCAAGTTTGGGCATCTTGACGCTGACCGGCCACGTTTGCCAAAGTGTACTTACTTCTTGTGTCATTTCCTCTTCTTCATCTTGTTCTTCCTCCTCTTCTTCTTCTTCTTCTTCTTCTTCGTCTTCGTCTTCTTCTTCATCGTCTTCTTCTTCTTCGTCTTCGTCTTCTTCTTCATCTTTGTCTTCTTCTTCATCTTCTTCTTCTTTATCATCTTCTTCTTCTTCTTCGTCTTCTTCTTCTTCTTTGCCAAGGTCAACTTACTTCTTGTGTCATTTCTTCTTCTTCCTCCTCTTCTTCTTCTTCTTCTTCTTCTTCTGTTAATTTTTTTCCCCAGTTTTATTGAGAAATAATTGACATGGGTCATTTTTTTCTTAACAGTTAACCTGTGAGGCAGTTCCTTGTCCTCGGCTGGTCCTAGGAAAACCACATCTGTACCAAGTCAGCCTCCAGTGAAAATTCTTCTGGCCAGATTGGTTTGTATTTTTTACTTCTTGACAACATTTTTCTTTGTTCTATAGCCAAAATATAATCAGGAAATATGTAATGATGAAATATCTTGCTTTCCCTGAAGCAAGACTCAAACCGGGGAGATTGTCTTTTATCCTGTTCTGATTCCGTAAATCCCTGCATTTCCCATGGTTGCTCCAGGGGAAAAAAGACATTGTACTTTGGTCCTGGTTATGGGTAACTTAAGATAATCCTGTTTTGCTTATAAGTCAGGCCCTTCTACAGGATGGCAAACATTTAAAAAAATTTTTTAAAGAAATTAGGATTCTAATAATAAAGAAAAAAACATGAAAAGTACAATAAAGCTAGCTTTAGATTATAAAATATGTATCATAGTATTTCATTTATTTTTTTTTAAAAAGCCATATTTACACAGGAAGGTTTGGAAGGCTAGACACTGAATTTTTTTTTAATTAATTAATTTATTTTTAGAGGGCATGCAAGCGAGCTGGTGGAAGGGATGGCCAGAGGAAAAGAGAATCTCAAGCAGACTCCGCCCTGAGCCTGGAGCCCCACTCAGGGCTCGATCTCACAACCCTGAGATCATCACCTGAGCCAAAACCAAGAGTCAGATGCTTTGATTGCACCACCCAGGTGCCCCCCATTGAAATATTTTTAATAGTTCTGTCTGAATAAGGGAATTATGGATAATCTTTATCTTCTTTTGGTTTATATCTGTTTTTTAGGGTGGTCAAGTAGGTAATAAGATTTTTTAAAGGCATTAATGGGGAAGCAAGAAGTGGTAAGGGGATATATGGAAACTATACTTCCTGCTCTTTTTTCTGTAAACCTAAAACTGCTCTAAAAAGCAAAGTCTGGGGGCGCCTGGGTAGCTCAGTGGGTTAAGTCTCTGCCTTTGGCTCGAGTCATGATCCCAGGGTCCTGGGATCGAGCCCCACATCAGGCTCTCTGCTTGGCGGGGGGCCTGCTTCTGCCTCTCTCTCTGCCTGCCTCTCTGCATACTTGTGATCTCTGTCTGTCAAACAAATAAAAATTTGAAAAAAAAAGCAAAGTCTTATTTTTTCAAAGGTTGTTCAGATAACAACCTCATGACCTACCAACTTCAAAGCTTAGTACTAAATTTGATGCATTAGTTTTAGTAAAGGAACCTAGGAAAGGGAAAGTAACAGTTTTCTTCTGTTTAGGGTGTTTTAACAAAATACTATAGACTGGGTGTTTATCAGCAGCAGATACTGACTTGTCATGGTTCTGGAGACCAGAAGTCCAAGATCAAGGTCCCAGCACTACTGGTGTCTGGTGAGGACTAGCTTCCTAGTTCAGGACAGTCGGCCATCTTTCTGCTATCTCCTCACATGGGGAAGGGACCTAGGTAGCTCCATGAAGCTTCTTCTACGAAGACACTAATCCCATTCTTGAGTCCCCTACCCTCATGACCTCATCACCCCAAGGACCCCACCTCCCAGTACCATCATGTTGGGCATTAGGATTTCAACAGATGAATTGGGGTGGATGGGGGGGGTCACAAATATTCATTCTACAGAAGTAACTAATTCTGAGAGTGATGGTAAAATATCTATCTATAGGTCAGGTTTCCCCCACAGAATACATGCTCAAGGGCAGAGTGGATGCCTTTGTCATCTATTGAGAAGACACACAGTAGATGCTTGTTGTATAACTGAATGAATGGATGAGCGCCAAGACCAGAGTAAAGCCTCTTACTCAAAGACACTCGACCACATGCATCCTCCCTCTTCTCCCTTATGTTTCCTTACAATTTGTGTGACTTTTCCTAACAAATATAAGAATATGTGTTTAAAATCATTGCAAGGAAAAATAAATACAGAAAGTCATCCCAAGAATAGGAGACCAAGTTTGGGGGGGGGAGATAAACATAAAGAAAAAGGTACATATGTAGTCTTTTAAAACCAAAATACAGAAATTTGCTTTTGAAGTTACTGATATAAAGCAGACTCTTGTTGAAAAAACATAACTGTAAGGAAGGAATTAAGTCACATGCATTATGCTCTGACTCTAAGCTGAAGTTGGGAATACAAAGAAAATAATCTAATTTAAAAATGGGCAGAGGAGATGCTGATGGTTTCCTAGAGTGAACACAACAAGTCACCACCAACTAGATGGCTTACAGCAATAAAATATATTCTTCCACACTTGTGGAGGACAGAAGTCTGAAATCAAGGTGTCAGTGGGGTTGGTTCCTCTTTGGGGCTCCAAGGGAGAACCTGTTCCATGCCCCTCTTCCAGCTTCTGGGGGTTGCTGGCCATCCTTGGCACTCCTTGGCTTGTAGAACATCATTGCAATTTTTCTCGCTCTGTGTGTGTGTGTGTGTGTGTGTGTGTCCAATTTCCCTCTTCTTAGAAAGACACAGTCAGATTGGATTCAGGGTCCCCTCCTAATCCAGTATGACCTCTCATTAATTACATCTGCAAAGACCCTATTTCACACATAGGCCATCTACACAGGTTCTAAGTGGACATGAATTTGGGGGGTGGGGACACATTATTCAACCCATCAAAGAGCTGAATAGGTATTTCTCCAAAAAAGATAAACAGCCTATGGGTGTGTGAAAAGACGTTCACCATCATCAGTCATCAAGGAAAGGTAAATCACAAACACAGTGAGGTACCATTCCATACCCACTCAAATGGCTAAAATAAAAAAGATACTGAGCATTGATGAGCGACTGGTGTGAATGCAGAATGGTACAGCTGCTTTGGAAAACAGTGGGCAATTCCTCAAGAAGTTACACATAGAGTTATCACATGCATTGAAAACATATGTCCACACAAACACTTGTACATGATGTTCATGGCAGCATTATAGATAATAACCAAAAAGTGGGAATATCCCACATCCATCAGTCAGTGAATGAATAAATATAATGTGGTATAATATAAACATTATTCAATAATGAATAAATATAAATATAATCCATACCATGGAGTATTTTCAGCCACAAACGGGAATGAAGAATTCATGGATGCACCTTGAGAACGCACTAAGTGAGAAGCCAGACACAAAAGGCCACATGTTGTGTGATCCCATTTATAAGAAATATCCAGAATAGGCAAGCCTGTAGGACAGAAAGTAGAATAGTGGTTGTCAAAGGCTGGGGGGAAGGGTGGGGAGAGTGGGAAGTGACCTCTTATGGGTATAGGGGATTTTTTTTAGAAGTGATAAAAAAAAGTTCTGGAATTTGATACTGACGGTGGTCTTGCAATCCTGCGAATAAAAATTTACACCGGGAAGAAGGAATGGAAGGATAAAGTATGAGAGTAAAATTTTCTAAAGTCAGAAAATCTAAAGAAAAGTTAAGTTGTGGTGTTATTTTCTTCTCTGGATCTTTAAGTGTTTAAATAAATGCAATACCAGGAAACCATAATAGAAAGTGGCTTACCTTATCAAAAATTTGTGGGAGTCGGGGCGCCTGGGTGGCTCAGTGGGTTAAAGCCTCTGCCTTCGGCTCAGGTCATGGTCTCAGGGTCCTGGGATCGGGCCCCGCGTTGGGCTCTCTGCTCAGCGGGGAGCCTGCTTCCCCTTCTTTCTCTGCCTACTTGTGATCTCTCACTGTCAAAATAAATAAAATTTAAAAAAAAATTTACGGGAGTGATAAAATAATGTTCTTTATGGATTCTGATTGTATGGCATGTGTCTCTGAGTGTGACAGAGAAGACTGTTGCTGGTGTTGTCTGTCACTCAGCATCAAGATTATAAAATTCTGTGGTAAATATGGAAGATCAGTGTCTATACCACCAGTGATTTGGGTATATTTGTAAGACACACTTAAAATTTACTCCTCATATCTCACCTTAAATCAAAACTGGATGGTGAAAAATGAAGACCAAATTTTTAGGGAATTATGCGTGGTGCTATGGAGGACACAGAGATGAACAGGTCACAAGAAGCCTTTTTCTGGTTCAAACCCTACTATAGTGCTGACCCACAGTGGATAT